ACGCCGGGCCCTGCAGATTTTGGGCTGCATTCCCAGGAGCAGAGCTCGCTGCTGTGCTGCACCACGGGATCATTTCTGTGACCTCTCCAAGGCTGGGGGTGCAGCAGGGGGATAACCTACCCCTCCCAGCTGCAACCCTCCAAGAGTGCTTTCCTCCTCCCAGACCCCAGGGGTCTGTCCCCAACCCCTTTCCCTAGCCAAGCTGGGAAGAAGCTGGTCTCAGGCATCCTGAGATGTTGGCAGAGGGCTGGGGACTGCATGCTGGCAGGGGGAGCTCTGGGCTGGCAGCCCTTGGCCCTGCCTGGGCATCCCTGCAGGGTGTCTTCCCTGGCAGACTCAGGATACCTGTACTCTCCATGCCCCTGACAGGGCCACCACATCCCTCTGAGTGCCAATGAGGCAGCTGCCTGCACCGATCATTTGCCTGGGGTCCACCACTACCGCAGCCTCCCTGTCATTATGCCAAGCATTCCCTCACCATGCTTCTCTCCTGGGCCATGTGCCCAGCCATGCACCCAGAGGCCACCACAGGACCCTTTCACTGCTGGGTGAAGCTGCTTGCTTTGCAGGGTTCTCTGCAGCTAGGGGACTTGCCACCCCTTGCCTCACACTATCCCTCTGCACAGACAACCTCTGGAGTGACCAGAGCCTGGAGACAGACCCCGACCTCCCCCCAGGCTGGAGGAAAATCCGTGACTCTCTGGGCACCTACTACTGGCATGTGCCAACTGGCACAACGCAGTGGCAGCACCCTGCACGCACCACTGGCCCAGGAGGGCGCCCGGAGGCTGATGGAGAGGAGACACTCCAGGAAATGGTAGGACATTTGGGCAGGAGGGTGAGGGCTGGTGTTGGATTCCATCCCCTGGCAGGAGCCTGCTGAAGAGCCCTCTGGGAATTGCTGGTCCAGCCTCCCCTTTGTCTGTCATCCCAAAGTCCTGCTCAGCCCATTCGTGGTGAGGGTTAAACCCCTTGAAATGCTCCAGCAGGCTCCATGTTGTCCTCATCCTGGCTACATGGGATGTCCGCAAGCTGAGGTGCTGCTGTCCTGGAAGGGAGGGGTCCTACCTTGTGCCTCCTGACAGCTTCTCTTGCTGCCCTGACCCCCTTCCTCTTCTTTTCCAGGACTGCCAGGCCTTGGTGGCAAAGCACTCGGCAAAGCACAGGCCCATTCCCAGTTCTATGGCTTCGCTGTCCCGGAGGTAGGGCTTCCCACATACTCTGCTGGCTTGTTGGGCACCATTAACCCTGGAGCACTGCTGGGTGCTGGGTCCCAGTGCCCCCCACCAGAGCAGCCCCACATGTTGGAGCCAGCAGGACCATGCTGGTCACCTCTGTAGGTAGGATGCTTCCCAGCTGGTGACATGGGGTCTGCCACTGCCCAGGCAACCTGGTGCTTCCCTGGGTGCCCCAGGTCTGTGCTGCCAAGTGGGAGTCATCCCCTCACCACCCTGTCCCTCGCAGGACCTCGCTGCCCTGGCATGGAGATGACTTCCAGCACAGCACAGAGCCTGGATCCAAGGTACCGCGCCCAGAGGGTTCACTGTGGGCTGGGGCTGGCAGCAGCTGGCAAGGACAGGGATGGGAGCAAGAGCAGGCATGACCACACTAGCATAGCAAGGGGCGTGGGACGGGAGTGGCTGTGCTGGTCCGGCACTGAAGCCCCATATGTCTCGGCTTAGTGCTTCGCTGTGCACTCTCTGGGCTGGGTGGAGATCCCCGAGGAGGACCTGGCACCTGGCAAGAGCAGCATCGCTGTCAACAACTGCATCCAGCAGCTCTCCAACAGCAAGGGCCAGGGCTCTGCGGAGAACCAGGGTGAGGTGAGAGCATGGGACGGTGCTGCCAGGTAGGGTCCCACCCTGGGGCCACTGCTACTGAGGCTGGCTGTCCCCACCGACGGGGACCGGACCTGTGGAGGACCAGGGACCAGTGCTAGTGGCAGAGTCAACTCTCTCCACATAGGCCATCCATGCAGTGGTCCCAGGTGTAGGGCAGGTGGGTCTGACCGGGCTGTCCTTTGGGGACGGGGCCATGGGTGCTTGGGTAGGCCATCCTCACACATGGGAATGGTACTGGGGAGGTCTGGGGAGGAACCGGTCTGTCTCCACACCTGGGGCTGAGCAGACTGGGGGGATGGGGATGTCCCTAGACCTGGGCTGGGTGCTGGGGATGCCCAGGCTGTCTGCCAGGCTGAGAGAGCTGCTGACCCTCTGCAGGGCCAGGACCTGGTGATGATCCTGAAGAAGGACACCATGAGCCTGGTGGACCCCCTCAATGGCAGCCTCATCCACCGCCAGCCCATCCTCAACATCCGCGTCTGGGGCGTGGGCTGCAACAACGGCAGGTGCTGGGGGACAGGGCAGAGCTGGGTGCTGGGCAGCGGCTCTGCCCACTGCAGGGGGAAGACACCCCAGCAGTAACCTGTCTTCTCTCCTCCCTTGCCAACTGCCGCTGCGGCTGCAGGGACAGGGAAGGGAACACAGTGCCAGGGAGCCATGTGGAGGGGTGGGGGGTGCTTCCTCTGTTGGGGTCTCACCGGCTTGCTCATGGCCTTGCAGAGACTTCGCCTTTGTGGCCAGTGACAAGGACACCTGTGTCCTCAAGTGTCATGTCTTCCACTGCAATGTCCCTGCCAAGGGCATCGCCAAGGCTCTGCACGAGATGTGCTCCAAGGTGGGATGCAGGGGCCCTGGTGGGTGTGGGCATGGCACAGGCATCTCAGGGGCAAGGGGAGGCATTGGGACCCTGTCTCTTGCAGATCATGGCTGAGCGAGCCATAGCGAGCAGCGTGCTGCCACGTGCTGCCACACTGGAGCCTGTGTCCACTGAGGACCTGCCGCTGCAAGGTACCGCCCCGCTGGTGCTGCTGGCTGCTCCCTCTGCCCGCAGTCTACCCTCGAGCAGCAGGTTGCCCAGCAGCTAGAGCCCTTTGGCCTGCCCAGCTGTGTCCCTGGGGTCCTTGGGGACACCTCTCCTGTCCTTGGCAGTGGATATCCTGGAAGCGGTGAGACAGTCAATGCAGACCTACGAGGCGCTGTACATCGGCAGCCTGCCTGTGCCCAGGGCCATGGGTAAGCAC